ATACACCACTCCTTTTCGTAAATTATATTCTTTGAAAATTGCTTTGTTGTTATTTCTTTTTCCAGATTGTATGATTCTTTTTATACTACTAATATCTTTGTCCTGTTCTTGTGTAGCTAATAACCAATCATTTTCATTGATCAAGGTGGCATAAACACCTTTCATAAAATCGACAGTCGGGTTTCTGCTAAGAGCATCAACGTGGCTCATGGCAGTTCCTGGACGATGGACTATTTGAAATTGATACTCTTGAAGCTCAAGGATCCATCTTCCAATTCGTCGATTCAAATTTTTCTTTGTTATAGCATTTTTCACGGCTGAACAGTCCGTAACTATTTTGAATAGCTTTCCAATCAAATAGTGTCTGAATCTCCTTACTGACATTACTATAGCAAGTGCTTCGAGTTCGAATGAATGATATCTCTGTTCAGTTGGAGTGGTAGTTTTACTGTAATAGCCAACTACTCGCTCGTTTCCATTTTCAATCTGAATTAGCATTCCAGCTAAACCAATTCTACTAGCGTCTGTGTAGAGTATAGTTTCTCTTGTGGAATCGAACAACGTCAAAACAGGTTCGTTCATCATATAGCCTTTAAGACATTCATATGCTTTTTGCTGTTCTGTAGACCACGTCCATGGTTTATCTTTCTTCAGCAAACTGGTTAGTGCCTTTGATTTTTGTGCGAACTGATCTATAAACTTCCTGAAGTGTCCAACCAGTCCGAGAAATTGTCTTACTTGATGCACGTCTTTTGGAACTGGAAACTTCTCTATTGCTTCTATTTTAACTTTGCTTGGTTGAACCTGACCGTTTTCCACGACGTAGCCCAAAAACTCTATCTTTTCGGACAAAAAGTGATATTTGGAAAGTTGTAGACTAACTCCATACTCTTGTAGTCGATTTAAAACTGTCTCCAGGATTTTAAAATTTTCCTCAATGGTCGCTGTAGGGATCAGTATGTCGTCTAAGTACACAACCACTTTAGTAAACCTTAGATCACTTAAGATGGTATCTATTGCTCCTTGAAATACATACGGCGCATTAGTCAATCCAAAAGGAACTTTCAAATACTCAAATTTTCCTTCAGGAGTAATGAATGCGGTTATTGGAATTGATTCTTCAGAGAGGTTAATCTGGTGGTAACCTGATCTACAATCCAGCGTTGTAAAATATTTCTTATCAGTTAGTCTATCGATAAGATCCTCTATTATAGGTAAGGGATAACTTTGTTTTACGGTTTGTTTGTTGACAAGTCTGTAATCAACAACTAAGCGCTTCTGACCGGTTTTCTTATTCACCATGATGACCGGACTTGCGAACGGCGACTGTGAAGGACGTATGGTTTCGTTTAGTAGAAGCTCGTCAATTATTTTGCGTAACTCAAATTTTTCAGCTTCAGCAAGCCTATAGGGTCTCTAGACAACAGGTTTATCAGATTTCAGCTGAATGGCCATTTCAAAACCTTTTTTGCTACTGAGTTTTGTCTTTCCATCAGGGAAACAATCTGAATATTTCTCAATCATTTTCAATAGTTTTTCTTGTACTTCTTGATTTACTACGCCGATTTTTACACTACACTGGATCGAATCTATAAGTACTTTACACGATACTTTTCAGTGAACATCAATCTCTGATCCACCGAACACCGTAAGGATCACTGGGTTTGAAAGTTCAGTCACTTTTAGCTTATATTTGCGCACGAAAGATTCTGTAACCATTGAGCACACACCAAAATCGATGAAACACGTTGTTATAATTTGTCCGTTGATTTCTATTGATTTGTAGAATTTGTTTCTGTCACCTTCTCGTGATATATACAACACGCGTTTCTCATTGGTTTCCAAAGGGCTTGATTGCATTTGTGTTCTTCTTTTGCGTTTAAAACATTCTTCGATTGTATGGCCCTTTTGGCGACAATAATTATAATGTTTTCTTTGTGTCTGGACAGTGTTTTGAACTGTATTCTGATTAGTGTTCTGTGGACAACTGTTTTGTTTATGTCCAGCTTGCTTGCACCGATAACATACAACGGGTTTTGGTGCTTCCCTAAATGACTTGGCAGGCTTTACAGTGAAATTTGATCTGCTAGTCGACGGACGAGACTGATCCAAAATAGAAGACAACTCGAATGATTTTAGGTACACAGCTAGTTTAGCAGGATCTTGAATATTAGCAGCTTTAACAGAAAATTTTATATTTTGATTTTCTAGTCCACCCACTATTAAATTAACCTCGTCAATGCCGCTCAACTGTAAGTCCATTTTTCGGATATACGACAATTTTTCGAAACAATATTCATATAAATTTTGGTTTGGTTTTGGCTTGAACGCAAGCATTTCAGTCATTAAATTATGCAAATCCCGAGTAGAAGGAAAAGTAGTTGTAAGTAGCGTTTTCCACTCAACCCACGACTTAGGTACAAAAAGGCAGAGACTTGTACCAGGTTTCTGCAGACCCCTTAATTTATTTATCGCTAAATGGCAAATATTTACATCATCCCATTTATAAATATTCGCATGTTCGTCAATCTTGGAAATCCATCGGTTTACATCGTAATGCAATGGATCGAGTTCAGAAATATCGGTATCTCGCACAGACATACCCATCCGTGGCCTATGTTCACTTTTAACTAAATCAATTATATCTAGCAAACCTGATTTTAGTAAGTCCTTATCTCTCATGGGCGGTGTGTAGGAACGTTTTTCTTGATCATGCTTTTTCACTTTTTTCTGACGTTCTTCACTGCTAGATGAGCTGCTGGAAGAGCTACTTCGCTGTCGGCGTCTATGATGCTTTCGTTTTCCCATTTTCACTCGCAAAAACACAACTTTAGTACTAAAATGACGAACTTCACTAATTAATTCCGCTTCTGATGAGAACTTGGGTATGTTTTAGTTTAAATAAAACATACAGCTTCGCAAAATGTTTATATATTGCCCAATTTGGCACCAAAAGCAGAATAATCACAATAACAAAACAACAATAATCTCCCGGTCGTAAACAACTACTACTGCGCAGTCTCCATATGTCACGCCACAGCACAAATGTACCGCCTCTCTGGGTGACCTGGCGCCAGCCGCCAGCACTCGTCGACAGATCCCAGGATCATCCAGCCTACTGCATACGTTCTCCGGTTAGAGAACACCAGTGGTGCCAACACACATATGCTTTACTCTCCTTAATAATCCCAATAAATATTGATAAAAGTATGTAAAAATAATTTAAAGTATCAATATAGCTATGCAACTGATACTAAAAAGCTTGGTTTCCTTAACTTCTCAGTCTGTCTTTTCCATTGCTATTGTTTGTTTCGAGTTTTGAAAACAAAATCAATAATATAGTAACTGTTGCAAAGCTATTCTGAAGCATTACAGTATTTTTAAACGGTTTTATCGATATTCAACACAATTAAGAAAAATGTTGAAAAAATGCTTATGTGTGATATATTTTAGAAATCGGGAAAAGTTGGGCTATTTATTTCTCTTGTAATATACTGGGTGTCCCATTTAAAAAAAAAATCTCTTTTGTTTTAAATATGACATTTGACATCTACTGTCATTTTTGACAAAACGCATAAAAACTTGGCTAAAACTGCTACAATTTGTTTTTTGAATGAATGCTTTAACTTAAAAAACAAAAAAGTTATAGGCTTTTAAAAGTTGTTCCTGTATAATGTGTATTCACTAAAATTTTTACCTTGAAAAAGAAGTCGATGGAGTTGGTTCTCGTTGAAAGTGGTCGATTTTTTGAGACTTTCCATCCCCGGATGATGTATTTTGCTTAGAACAACTTTTTTTTCCTGATAAGGAACGGACATTAAAATAGTCAGGAATTAGCCTCCGTCTTTTTGCGCTCTCTTGCTCATAATCCGAGTCGAACGAACCTCCAACGGCTCCAACAAACGGTTCTTCTGGCTCTGAACCATTCAGAAATGGTTTCCCGGGTGACGATATCTTTCTCCATCAGTAATCTGCAAAAAAAATCTATTTGCGTTAAATTTATAATACGACAGGTGAATACCAAAAAAAAAATTTGGTCCAAACCAAACCAAACCAATAACTGTGTGTGACTGAAACCAAACCAATAACTGACTGATAATATTATTTGTATAATGTTTTGTATTATTTTTGTTTGTTTGTTTGTGTACCTTGTTTTTTTACTTTGTTTGTTAATTTACCTTTGTCTACAAATTGAAAAATTTTTTGACAATAAAGGCATTTATTTATTTAGAATTCATTACTTAACCATACATAGAAACTCCGGAATTAACCATTTGTAAGATATTTATTTAATAATTTTTAATTTCCTTGATTTTAAAATCCGAATATTAATTTGAAATATTCATCAACCAAATAAAAATGGCAAAATAAAATTATAAAAGGTTAATCATTGTTGCTTAGTGAAAACAAAAGCTGACCTTATCCAAATCTAAAATCTACAGAAAAGGAAATTCACAATCTCCACAAAATTGCTGATAATTTAGAGACCCGATTTTTTGAAACACCTTGTATATATTTTTAAAAAATCTTAAAATATATCAAAAATAAAATAAAATACACATATTGAAGCGTTTTTCCTAAAACCAGCGGTTCTTCAAATAAAAAATACTTTAATATTAAAGGGATGATTTCAGTGAGTCAATCAAGCATTTTATATATTAGTATAGATTACTAGAATAAAACTTAATAGGAAAATACATGAATCTTACACAATGTACCCACTTAATTAAAAAATTAACTTACCTTTTCATATACCTATGTACTTAGTCTGGTATCACACACAAGTTATAACAGGTATTAAAATTTATAATAAAATACCTAGAATGGCGATACTGCACAAGTTCACACGTAATATCTAATCGTGATCCTTAAGCGACCTGTCTCGTCTCACGATTTGGCGATGATTAAATTTAACCCGATTGTCGGCATCGCGAATTGAGAACCGTCCGCAACCCCCGCGAACGTGTTTTAACAAGCTTAAGTTGCGTAAAGCGTAAAGCGGGGTTTACATTAGTCAAGTTACTTGAATCAAGTTAACTTGAGTCAAGTCAACTTGAATCAATTTTGGTGTTTACACTATATGAACGATTTTTGCAAACTTGAATTCAAGTGGAGGGATTGTTTTGGTTGTCTGCAGTGAAAATGGCCGTCACTCCTGATGATATAGCTGATGCTCTCCGTCAAGTCGTTGCACTGGTAGTACCATTAGTAAGCGATGTTACAGTAAATGCATTAAGAAAAAATGAAAGAAGAAGAGGAAGAGTATGGGTACGGAGTTGGATTAGTCGTAGATTAATTCTTGGAGCCTCAAACAGCTTACTCAGAGAATTAGCTGTAGAGGACGTGGATTCATACAGAAACCACCTAAGAATGACACCACAAAGGTTTGATGAACTTTTGACTTTGGTTGAAAAGAAGATTAAAAAAAAGGATACAATGTTCAGGCTAGCAATACCGGCAAAAACTAAACTTGAAATAACCTTAAGGTATTTAGCTACTGGTGACAGTTTCGCTTCTTTGCAGTATCTATACAGAGTGCCAAAAAGTTCAATCAGCAAATTCCTACCTGAAGTTTTGGCAGCGGTTTACGAAGTACTCGAAGAATATATTAAGGTAAACAAAAAACACATTATATTTTATAATTATGTTTACTGTTACAAGTAGGATGTCAATTAATTTTTAAATAATTTCATAATTACAATTGTTCTTGTCAACAACAATTTCTTGAAAGACCAGAAAATTGTCGGAATCATTTTGTTCTTTGTCGGTTTCTAGTAAGAAACTGGTTTGCAAAGCAGGAGAAAGTAAGTCGTTTGAATTGTCTTGGTAATGAATATCTTCCACATCAGTTCTGTCAGATCCAGATACAGAGGTAGCTATGGTTGGTGATAGTGAAGAATATCTGTGAATTTGCATGTTTCGATTCAATGATTTGATTCTTGCAGCTATAAGAATGTCTTGGATAGCTTTTTGAGCATTAAGAGAATCAATTGGGTTTAATTGCCCCAATTGTGCTGAAACGTACTCTCCAAAATGAGACAGTTCATCACTAGTGTGTCTCACAGAACCATTTTTGCCAGCTGGTTTAACGTTTTGTGATATTGCATGTAGTTTATCAACTATGTGTTCAACAGCATGTATTTCGGATATTTTTTGCTTTTTGGAGCGTGGAGGCTGCATTCCAGGTGTTTGAGATTTAGTTTTTTTTGGTTGTGGTTGAACAATTGGAGAACTTGGAGAATCCACATCCTCTATATCGTCAGTCTCAGATGCGTCAGTCAGTGTAGGCAGAATTTGGATTTCCTTATCCTGAAATGAAACAGAATAACTGTACAAAATAATAGAAATATTATGAAAAAATTGTGGCAATACATTTTTTTTTCAGGTGCCAAGTACAAAGGAAGAGTGGGAATTGGTGCAACGCAAATTTGAAGTGCAGTGGAACTTTCCCAATTGCATAGGAGCCATTGATGGGAAACATGTCCAAATAAAGTGCCCTGCTGAGAGCGGTTCGAATTACTACAATTACAAGGGTACATTCAGCATCATACTGTTCGCATTAGTTGATGCCGAATACAATTTCTTATACATAGATGTCGGTGCTAATGGAAAGTCAAATGATGGTGCAGTTTTTCAAGCATCAACATTGAACATTGCAATGGAACGTAACACCCTAAATTTACCACAGAATGCCGTTATTGTTGCAGATGATGCGTTTCCTCTAAGAAAGGACATACTGAAACCTTTCAGCAAACGCAACTTAACAATTTCAGAAAGAATATTCAATTATCGACTTTCTAGAGCTCGTAGAGTTTCGGAAAATGCTTTCGGCATTTTAGTTGCTAGATTTAGAGTATTCGAACGGCCTATTGCATTGATTCCTGAAACTGTAGATTTGGTTGTCAAAACTTGTTGTGCACTTCACAACTGGCTACGCAAATCACAGGGAAATATTACCTTCATCCTTCATCTGTAGATGTGGAAGACATGGCAACATGCACAATCATACCAGGCACATGGCGCACCACTATCAATACATCATGTCTGCTGAGGACATCGAAACTGACTTCGACAAATGCTTACAAACGTGAGCTCAAATCGTTTAGAGAGCAGTATGAAAAATTCTTCTCTTCAAAAGAAGGGTCACTACCGTGGCAATGGAAGTGGATTGGTGCTGATCAACCATCGAACAGCCTTTAACTTTGTAACTAAATATGGGTAATAATACAGTTTAACCTGCGTAAATGCAATGTTTTTACAATTGTAATATATGTTAGCCTTTCCTGTATATTGTATGCTGAAGGTACTCAGTTAAAATACTATTACTGCAATATATTTGTATGTAAATATGTAACTTATAGTATATGAAAGCATTTTATTAATAAATTATGTGTAGACATAAAGAAATGTAGTTTTTACTTACCAGAGTTGAAGTAGAAGGTCTGCTGGACGAACAACCCATTAAAAACTTTGCTGCATGGAACCAACTAAGTTTAGGTTCGTACAGTTCATCAGCAGCTGAACCTGATTTTTTGGATTTCGCAATTTTTATGCATTCTTGACTGACAATGGTTTTGATTACTTTTATTTTGGCTCTTACCACATCCAAGGTGATGTCGGGAAAATTGGTTTTCAATTTGTCTACCAAACCTTTAAATCCGGCATCTCTTAAATTCTTATTTTTATATTCACTCAAACCCGAGTTCCACAGTACAGGATAGTTTTCATACACCTCCAGGAATTCAATAATTTGATCGCTTGTCCACTTAACACTTTTTGAACTCATTTTTAAATAAAGATGCTTTTAACATAAACAACAACAAAACAACACCACTCAATGTGACACTAGATTTTTAGGTTAATCCTTGAAGCAAGTGAGCTTGAATGTGTGTTTACACTGGTCAAGAGACCTTCCTACTTGTTTCAAGTGCAGCCAACTTGACTCCAAAAATCAAACATGTTCAACTTTTACTTGACACTTGAATCTAGGGGTCAAGCACTACTTGAATGAGGAAAAAATCACTTGCAGAAGTGTTTACACGGTTCAAGTGACGTTCAAGTTACTTGATTCAAGTAAACTTGAATCAAGTAACTTGACCAATGTAAACCCCGCTTAACGCAATATTCATAAACAAAATCAAACAGGGTTCGAATGCAAAAAAATGTATTCGAATAGTATTCGTATACCAGTCAAAAGTATTCAGAATAGGATTCAGAATACCGAGTATTCGAATACTACTCAAGTCCGCTCGTCACCGTTCTCCAATCTCTCAAGTTGAGTCTAAAGGAAAACATCAAAATAGGTCTATATTAAAACTTATTACTATTACAATGTATTAATGTATTTTTTACAGGTCTCCGGAATTTTTGACCCTCTTTGATTCAGGGCATTTAGATGACCCTTGGAAATAGTCGGGCCCTATTATCCCCGCGACTAGGTTGTACCAGGACATTCATAGGTGGTCAAAGGAGGATTGTTTCTATACTGGTTTCCGGTTGACCGCTGCAGATCTTTTTTAATATCTGCGACCTTTTTGGAGACTTTATGTTTCAGATCCCCCCACACCTTAAAAAATATAATACCATTTTCAATTAAAATAGAGTTTTAAATATTTAAAACTAATTTAACTAAATATGAAAACTACACTAACTTAAATTTTTGAAAAATTAATTTAACACAAATATTAAAACAGATACTCACAACCTGCCACTGGCTCCCATCTTTCTGCGCTCTCCCTATTTTTGAATTCAATTCTTGTGAGAAGACACTTCACCTCTCACGCAGCCAGTCCTCCCCCTCTTTTCTCGTAAATTTCCCCGCAGCAAATATTGCGTGGGTCTCCATATACTGGGCCAATTGATCTCTCTGAGCCACGCTAAATCACTGATATTTACTAAAAGATAGATAAAAGAACAGACATATACGATACAAGAAAACATTATGTCTTTTTTGGGACTTAATAACGTAAACCTTAAAATAATAGAAAGTATTAGATTTAGATTCGTGTTAAAGGTGCCATTACACGGCGTGTAGAGCACTGATTCACGCCCCTGACGCGCCTATACGCGCCAAGACCCGCCGGTGTACCGCTCTTAGACGCGCCAATGCATATTTTCCCATTTGCGACCACACGACCGACCGAGAGACAGAGACAAAAATGCATTATATAACTTTTTAACATATACTACCGGCACTTCAACATGTTCGTTCGTAGAAAACGGATGCTCGCTTATGCAACAGCTTGTTCTGTTTTGTTGGATAGTGATTCCATAAAAAGGGATATAAAATAAAACATTACATTCAAAAAATATATGTTATACCTGTAAAAAAGATTTTTGAAGCACCCCGTATGCTTGAAATATTTTTAAATTGTGTATCTTAACATGCCCTAAAATATTTCTTTTTCCATTTAACATTTTTTAGTAATTCTCGAAATATCCGAGATAATGAACTTTATCGTTAACTCACTCACCCTGTATATTTATATAAAATTATTTGTATTAATTCGAGTAGGTATCGACATCCGTAATTTTTAGGGTCATATTAATATTTAGTAAATTAGTAATGCACATGTGAACTTTTTGTTTCTCTCGGCGTATATATTGACAGCAGGAATTTGGCCATTTGTCCATACGGAAACCAGTCGGGCTTATACATATTGTCTGCACCAGACCCTGTTTTCATACTTGCTCTAACTTTGCTGTTTAATTTTCGAAAAGAACCCATCAGAGAGTCTTTCTTTTTTTAGCACACTCACGTTGCAATTTATACTAAATTTTTGTTGTATTCTCATCCACGCGTCGGCGTCGTGTACTGCATTCCTATCATTATGTGCATTATCTTTTGGGTTCCAAATTATTTGTTCTTCCTCATATAGGGTCAAAACTTCAGATATAATTTCGTTAGACCAAGACAGTTTCTTCTTTCTCTTCAGGATCCTGAAAATAAATATTTCAACATTAAGTATTGTTAATTGTTTCTCCAAGCTTTTATTTTATTTTTGCTTTGTTTCAGTTGCCTCGAACATCACATGACTGGTTAAAGATAAAAAAGGAATTCAGAGAAACCTGGAATTTTCCGCATTGCCTTGGAGCCCTGGACGGAAAGCATGTTTTAATGCAAAGCCCCTTTCATATTGGTTCAGAGTTTATCAATTATTACAGCACCTTTAGCATAGTACTTCTTGCTCTAGTTGATGCTATCTACAATTTTATTTTCTTGGATTGCGGGTGTTAAGGAAGAATAAGTGATGGTGGCGTGTACAGAAATACAGAATTTTAACGAAAACTGTATGATAATGAACTAGATTTGCCACCACCAGAATGCTTACCGCAGAAATAAATGCCACTACCTTATGTCTTTGTAGCAGATAGCGCATTTCGATGGCTTATTTGCAATAAGACGTAACCCCAAAAAGCAAAATTTCCAGGAATCACAAAAAAAGTATTATGACTATTAAAACAAAAAAAAATGATAATTTTTGGTATAAACATAAATCTAGTGGCATTTTACTATATTAACAATTGCTAATGATTATTTTTTTTGTTTTATTAAATAATTATGGGTGATACGACATATTCCTTACTATGAAAATGCGTAATGTGGCTTACGCCAAATTGATAATTGTGTGATACGTCATGTTTGTTACAATAAAAACGAGGAT